AAAGAAAGAAAGAAAGAAAGAAAGAAAGAAAGAAAGAAAGAAAGAAAACCATGACAGCTATATCCCCCAAAAGAAGCATATTTTCCGGTTTGGGCAGGAATCTCTGAAAACCTGCCGTCATTACTCAAGGCCATTTATTTGCATGGCCGGTACCTCTGAAGAACTGGATTGGGGTGCCTTAGCCCTCCCTTCACCCATCAACCCCCCGCCCCCCAGCCTTCAGTCCTGGAATTGGACCATAATTCCTATCAGGGAATTTCAGACAATGGATGTGCTGACGGGATAAATCCTACTTATTCACAGAGGCCATGTGGCAAAGGCCTGTCTCTAAAGAGCCACCTCAGTGGCAAGGCCACAGGGCTCGATGATGGAAAACTGACAAAGACAGACTTTCATGCCTGGTAAGGGTCATGCCAAGCTCGTCGTGCTAGTCCAAGTATTTTGTCTTTATGGGGAATGAAAAACAAAGCCACAGAAAGGTAAGATTTTTAACAACGACTCTAATTCTCACAACCTAAAACTACTACTCTTCTTTTACACATTATCTGATGCGACAGCATGTCCATGGCGGAGAAGCTACCCTGATGCTCATGAACTATGGCTCTGTTTACACGTCAATTCTCAAGGCTGGCGCCAAGAAAAAAAAGATGTCAGGAAAGATGCCTTCAACGTTTAGAAAAAACACAAATGCGCCTTCACGGACACATCTTTACAAGGCAGGCAGAAGTGATTTACTTAAATGATGACCTTGGCAGAACTGAAAGGACAAATCGAAACACAGTTCATCAGGGAGCATTTTCCTACGGAAACAGGGGCACGTGTGGGTGGGCGTTCCCCAAGCCACTCGGGCACCGGCCTTGTCCTCACTAGGCCCGAGTCCTCCATATCTACTCATTCCCGCAGCAGCTGTTTGCAGAGCATTGGCGATATGCCGACCTGTGTCCACCCCAGGGACAGAGCAGAGTGGCCAGGCCTGGGCCTTGCCCTCAGGGGCCTCCAGTGTAGTGGGGGAGCCAGACATTGAGAGATTTTTGTAAATGAACGTGTGATAACAACTGATGATAAGAGCTGTGGAAGAGAAAAGAAGATGGGGCGATGGAGGAAGAAAAGTGGGGGGTGGTCAGTGGTGGGAGAGGGCACTTGGTCAGTGAAGGCCCCTGTGAGGTGACATGTGAGTTGAGAACAGCACGATGGGGAGTCGGCCATGTGGGCACAGGCCCGGGGAAGTGGGTGCTGGTGCTGGGGTCCCAGGCAGGAGGACTGGGAGGTGTTTGAGGGAGCACACTATGATCCCCCTTCTCTCTCACTCTTGCTCTCTCTCCCTCCCTCTCACGTGCACGCTCACACACTTGTACCCCTGCAACTCCCTTACCTGGAGGACCACTAATACTGAATCCCCAGGATTGCTGCATGGGTGGGAGGGATGCCTCCCACGGCAAAGGGACAGATAAGGTGGGATCAGGGGCCCCAGGACGAGGGACGTGTGAGATGAGGAAGAAAGGGGGCCCGGGGACTCTGGAGAGAGACCCGTTTGCAAAGCTCTCCCCGAGTGTCTGCGGAGGGCCAGCCTTGAAAGTGTGGGTGTCATCCTCGTCTCCCTCACTCCTCACCTCTGAGTTGCCACGTGCTGTGGGTTCTACATCCTTATCGGCATCCCTCGACTCCCCCATGACCTTGCTCCAGCCCCTGGCCACTGTCTTGGAGCAAGCTACCACCATCTTTCTCCAGGACAACTGCAACACAAATATTTAGAGAACAAACACATCAGCAGGACGTGCTGGTGTGGGGAATCCTGCTGCGCACCCACGTATGGGTCACGGCTTCCTTCTCTAAAGCGGAAGCTGGACTCACCTATTTCAGAGTTGGACAGAGCAAGAGATCCAGACCCTTTGAAAAGCTAAGCCTTTTGAGCTGCCTTTTCATGGCCCTTTCCCTGGCTGTGGAACACAGCCACCTCGTCGGGTCCTTCCTGAGCCAGTGCAGTCTCGCCAACCATTCCTGACCATCGCTCTTTCCACCTGTTCATGGTCACGCTGCATTTATGTTGTAGGTTTGGCCTTCCCCTCCTTTGCCAGCCCTCCACCCATAAACTCATGGTTGTCCCGCCTCTAGTGAGGCTCTGGCAAAACACCAGTGTCAGGCCAGGACAGTCTGCTCAGACCACGGTTCTGCGCCCTCCAGACTCCGATGCCAATTTAGGAGCATCTAAGGCACTGAGGACTCAACAAGCAGCAGTGAGAGCTCCGATGGTTGAGGAACTTTCCAATGTAGCCTTGTGTCGGGGGCAGTCTGGGCACGCTGCCCATCTGTGTTTTCTAAGGGACAGCAAAGGCAGAGGGGTGCTTTGTGTGGGCTGCTGTGGTTGGGGGGCCTGACCCCGAGGATAGGGACTCTTCTGGGCAGCCTATGGCCAGCAGAGCTGGAATTCTCATTCCCACCTAGCCTAGAGCAGGCACAAAGGAGGCTCCACATTTTCTCCACGGAAGGTCAAAAAAGGATGACCCTGATCCCTCTAACCATCAGCTCCTATTGTGATACTCTTATCAACCGATTTACAAACAGCTTTAAGTGAGGAGTGCTTGCAACGCCTTTAAGCCTGCTTCTCAACTCAAGAACAGGATTTTTTTTTTTTAATATGAAATTAATGTCGTCACGACCTTGCTCTCTTTCTAAAAGGATCTGAGGTGGGCTGTGGCAGCCCAACAATGGGTTAGTCAGTGATGATTAGGAAAATCAGGATCAAGGACAAATGGGACTACACATGAAAACAGTGTGGGCTAACATGGGGCTCTGTGGGGACTCCAAGCTCGATCTGGATCTCCTGGTATCCAGGGCAACGAGGAAAACACCACACAGGCTAAAGGGAAAGTAAAACTAAGTGGTCCGCTGATAGAATGGCAGTGCGTGAATTATGTATAAAATACAGCTGTCAACCAGGCTGCTCTGTGTGCTTGGCCGGTCGCAGGAATGGCTGTTCTAGGGTCTCGACCCATGGCCACGTGAGATCCTTCCAGGGGTGGCTTTCTCATCTACAATCTATGAGTAAAAACCATTTTCCTTTGCCCTTCTTCAACTGATTCATTACAGTGGGCTTTGGATTTCTTGGAGAGAGGTCACATAAAATTATGTTATTCTTTTATGGAGATGTTTAATGTCTGCCATTATAAAGCACTCAAGTAGTGGACTGAACCCTTAATAAGAAGGCTGGATGAAGGAGGGGCCCACACCCAGCTTCACCCTGTCATTGGGCCCAGGATTAATCCAGAGAGGCTACTGACCTGGGAAACAGTCTATTCCGCGCCCCCCCCCCCCAAATGTATGTATGTTCAGAGGTGGGGGAGGGAGAGAGAGAGAATCCCAGGCAGGCTCTGCATTGTCAGCGCAGAGCCCCATGCGGGGCTTGAACCCATGAACCGTGAGATCATGACATGAGCTGAAGACAGACGCTTAACTGACTGAGCCACCCAGGCGCCCCAGGAAACAGTCTTTAGGAATTCTTTTTTGCCACCTTTCACCTGGATGGAAATGTTGGCAGTGATGTCCATCCTAGAATCAAACCAGGTCTCTATGTCGCAAAAACATAGCAGAGGTTGTGCTGTGGAAATTTCCATCTGGAGCCAACAGATTTCTCCAATTTACTCCTGCAGGCAGACGCCTTTGAAAGATAGATCAATAATATGGTTTTCCTTGCAGTAATTTAATCCGGCTGTCTGCTTTGTCTCTCGTGACTTCCTGTTTTTCATGCCCATGGGACCATGGCCGGGCCATGCAGCACAGGAGGGCACATCTGGAAAAGCTGGTGTTCCTTGGATTCCTGTTCCAGGGTTGAAAACTTGGGGGACACAGCTGTTGTGATAAATATGCGAGAAACGCTCAGCTGGTAGCTTTAGGGAGCTACCTAAGGGCTGACTAAGAAAGTGTGGCTCAACAGCCGACGCGCAAGTCCTGTGTGTGTCCTATGCCCACAGTGTGGCCAGTCCTGTCCTCACATGGGCACATGTGGAGCAGGGACGAGGACCGCACGTACTGTAGCACGCACACCCAATAGACATGCAGGTTTCAACCCTGTCTCCCTGCGTTCTGGCAAATGGCCAGAGAGCTTCAAAATGCCAAAGCCATCGTGTTCAGGACTGATGGTTAATGAGGCCAAACTAAAGTGAAAACATTTCACTAACTTCCACTGTAGGCTTGGGGAGTGATGAAATCTGACAGTTTGTTGAAGCTGAGCTGCTTTTAAGCCCTGTGGGTGGGCACGAGGCCCAGAGCAGTGATCTCGACCTTCCCCCAGAAGCTAGATTGCAGATCCCTGGGCCCCTGGACCCCTGCCCGACTCAGATTCAGAAGGTCACCCCGATGCAGGGCTTTAAGCCCCCATGCTTGGTGAACCACTGGCAATAAGGAAAGCATGTGGGCTTTACTATAGAGTAGCCTGCCCAGAGGCAATTTATTTACTTCCAGGAGCCTCCGTCCTCTTGGCCTGTAAAACAGGGCTACTGAAGTCTGGGCTGTGAGGATCAGGAATGACGTTTGAGCGCTGGGCAGCAGGAAGCCTGGCCCCCAGCCTGCGGTCAGCGGTGGTACCCGCCCAGCCCCGCCGGGGACAGCGGGGCTTCATACAGGTTCGTGTGGCCCCTGCTCAAGTTTCTTGAGCATCTGCTACCATTTTCCAGCTTCCCCCCATTCCTGGGGTCCCTCCCCAGCCTGGAGTTGAGTGGCTAGGCTTTCCCTATTTCATGGACACTCCTCAGAGGAGAAACAAGGAAGGGGAATCACAGTGGAGATTCCCAGGGGCAGGCAGTGCCTCGGCCAGGAAAGCCCTGCCCTCTCCTCCTTCTGGTACTCTTCAGGACCCGGAACTCCGCCAGACCCTGCTGCTCGCAAAGCAGCCTGCCTTTCCTCCCCTCACTCCATCCCCAGAACAACATGGGACAAAGGAAGCCTTGGCGTTGCTGTCACCTCCACTTTACAGATGAGAAAACTTCGGCCTCTTGCCTCGATTCTTGGTCCATTCCATTCTCAACGCTATCCTCACATGATATTTTTCTTTTCATTTCTTTTTATTTAAAAAAATTTTTTTTAATTTAAAATTTTTTTGAGACAGAGAGAGAGAGCATGAATGGGGGAGGGTCAGAGAGAGAGGGAGACATAGAATCCGAAGCAGGCTCCTCGAACTCACGGACGGTGAGATCATGACCTGAGCCGAAGTCGGAAGCTAAACCGACTGAGCCACCCGGGTGCCCCCCTCTTTTTATTTTTTTTAAATTGCTTTTAAAGATTTTATTTTTTAAGCAATCTCCACACCCAGTGTGGGGCTTGAACTTACAACCCTGAGATCAAGAGTTGCATACTCCACCAAATGAGCCAGCCAGGTGCCCCTGATTTTTTTTTTATTTTTTTATGTTTATATATTTTTGAGAGAGACACAGAGCACAAGCAGGGGAGGGGCAGTGAGAGAGGGCGACACAGAATCTGAAGCAGGCTCCTGGCTCTGAGCTGTCAGCACAGAGCCCAACACCGGGCTCGAACCCATGAACCATGAGACTGTGGCCTGAGTCGAAGTCAGACACTTAACCAACTGAGCCACCCAGGCGCCCCAAAATCCTAAGTACAAATAGAGACCTATGGTGCCCTGCTTAAAATTCCCTTAATGGCTCCCAGCTGCTTAGAGCAAGGTTCAGAAAACTTTCTGCAAAGGGCCAGATGGTAAATATCATAGGCCTTGCAGGCCAAGAGACAAAAATTGAGGCTACCGTGTAGGCACTTAGGTAACAGAAGGGAGTGCAATCTTCCTCAAATTTGTTTTATCAATGAAATTATGAGGAGGTTTCTTTGTAATCTAGTTTTGCTAATGAGAAGAACAGATTTCCTTTTTGGTGCCGATAAAATTTCACGTAGTTGGGGTTCAGGTAGTGTTCCCCTACCATCTGATCAATTTATGATCACCTGTAAAATGATTACAGGTTTAACGACTAACTGCAAAAACCATTTTTAACTTGGTCTATGTCCTTAACTATAATGAAATAAAACACAGGCAGTGAACTGGTCATTGTTTGGGACCCCTTCTTTTAAAAAAAATATTTACTTTTGAGAGAGAGAGAGAGGGAGAGGGAGACAGAGAGAGAGAGAGGAGGGCCGAGAGACGGGGACACAGAATCTGAAGCATGTTCTGAGCTGTCAACACAGAGCCCAATGTGGGGCTCGAATTCACAAACTGTGAGATCATGACCCAAGCCGAAGTCAGATGCTTAACAGACTGAGCCGCCCCTAGACCCCTGCTTAAAAGATCAAGTCTCAGCTCCTTAACGTACAAACACGGCTGCAGGGACCTGCCCTCACGTCTATCCCAGACACTCTCCCAACACAGTTGGCCCCAACTTTTTGCTTCTTAAACAGGCTTCGCTCTCTTATCCCTGAGCTTTTTCTTCCAGCCCATTTCCAACCTGGGACTTCCTGTCTCTGCTCGGCTAGACTCTCTTTCAGGACTACTTACCTGGACACCTTCCCTAAGCCCTTCCCTCCCATAGATCCCAGTGTGGACTTGGAGAAGTTAGCACATAATATCACAGTTGGGTCTTTACAATCTGTAACTCCCTCACTGGCCTGGGATGCTTTCGAGGGAGGAAGCTACTGCCTACCTACTGTACTCACTGCACATGCTTCAAAAATAGGGACTGCATCCCAGGTCTTCTGTTTCCTGCACCATCTCCAGTGGGGACCACCCAGCTGCCTTGAGAGCACCATGTTTTTACACCCTAGCACGCTCCTGGCCTCAACTGACTGATCCAGGGTGAACACTGGATTCAAGTCAGGCCTACAGCCCTTTCTTGAGATCTTTCGAGCTGTGACCGAGAAATGGCACAGTGTAGGGAGTAAAACCCTGGAGGGCCGGCAGCCATGATCTCCATCTTGAGGGGAGACACTACCATGACAGAGGTGGAGGAAGAGGATGTGCAGAGAGAAGCAGACAGGAGTCCTGGGCAGAGAGAACCTTGGAACATTCTCCTGAGCCTCAGCTGCATCCTGCTGTGCTAATCATCTGCCTAGTGGCCCTTCCTTGGAAACCACAAGACACCTGAGCTCGTTTGACCATTTTCTGTCGGTGGCGATCCAAAGATTCCTTGATCTTGGCAATCCAAAGATTCCTGATCTTGGCATTCTCCCCACTAGCCACTGATTCCCAAACGTTTTTAAGCATAGGAAGCTCTAGTTCAAACAGAATCTTACTGAGAAGCCCGGCATGTGAAATGGCTGTAATATAGGATAGACCACACGGTCCAGTCTAACAAAGCCCCACTCTGACAACTCCTGACTTTGAAATCAATGCTGAGATACTCTTTTAGCCTCAGTTTCCTGCTTTTTAAACAAAACAAAACAAAACAAACAAAAAACAAACAAAAAACAAAAAACAGAGCAGAGGTATCCAACTCTTCAGGTTGCTATAGGGCTTAAGTAAGTTAATATATGTAAATCGTTTAACACAGTGTCAGGGATAGAACAATCAGTCAATAAGCATTAAATTAGAAGTAGGGGATGGAGAAACCCAGGGCAACTGCCACTCTTAGCACCCTTATAACTCTTCCCTCAATAATGTCTTTGGCATATGTATAATGTTTAAATTATCTGAAATGATTAATATATCTTCCTGGTTAGACTGGAAAGTCTCACAAAGACAAGAAGCATATCTGTCTTGGTCACTGTTTTACCCCAGGTCTGCCTAGCACAGCTACTGGCCTCTAGAAGGTGACCAGTAACTACTGTTGACTAAATGATAATAGATATATGTATCATCTTGTTAAAAAATATACACCATACATGTTGCCTTCTGCAACGGATTCGAAAAGTCGTAAGAAGAGATAAAGGCTCAATGGACAGGGTAGCCTACTGAAAACTAAAGTTAATTCTTTTAGTTTGGTCAGTTACATTACTTGGAGGTTCCCAGGTTTCACCATTTTAAAACTAATTAATGTAATGAAAACACAACATGACAAGACTTCAGAGGTACACTTAAAGTAATAAGGAAAATTCATAGCGTAAAATACTATATAAAAAAATGGAAACAAATAAATTCAATTCCCTGTTCAAAAAGACAGGAAAAACTCCAACCAAGTAAAACAAAATAAGTTACAAGAAAATAAATAATAAGGATAAAATCAGAAATCAGTGAAACAGAATAGGAAGGCCACTGACCTATGGAGTTTGAAAAACTAACAAAATAGACAAACCACTAACTAACTCAGCCAACAAACAAGGGAGGAGATCCAAATATAAAACTAAGAAATGACAATAAGAAGATAACTACTAAAAAAGTAGAAATTTAAAAAATTCATGAGATTACTTTGCAAATCTCTATGCAAATCTATTTGAAAATGACAGTGAAATAGATAAATATGGTTTACCAAAATGACTTCATTGGAGCCAGAAAGCTTCAACAGAGCAAACTTTACAGAGAAATAGAGAAGACTGTCAAAGAATTCTCTGCTACCCCAAAAAAGCACCAGGCCTAAAGAATTTCACAAGAGGTACAAAGTCTTGTTTTAGTGCTGCATAAATTCCTGTAGGCTTAGAAAATAAAAGTAAACTTCCAAATTATTTTTATGAAGCAAATATGACATTGTTACATTGTTACTTAAACAAGTATCACTTACCAATAAGGGCAAAACATCCTAAAATAAATGTTAGCAAACAGAATCAACATTGCACTGAGAAAATAGTTTAATATGACTAAGGGGATTTATTCCAGGAATGCAAGGTTGGTTTGATATGATAATAAAATATACCATATTAAGTGATCTAACAAGAATCATATGATTATTTAATTCCACTGATGCTTTGACAAAATGCAGCACTTTTTTCTAATAAAAAAATACTCATGAAAATAGAAGTTGATGGATACACTTCTTTACCATGGTAAAATATATAAACCTTAGTCCAAAGCCAGCATGTACCATATCAAGAATCACTAGAGGCATTTGCACTAACATCAGGAACAAGACAAGGATGCCTATTATCTCTACTCTTACTTATTATTGTATTGTAGGTACAAGCCAATGCAATCAGATAAGAGAAATCAATAAGAAACATAAGAATTGGAAAACAGAAAGTAAAACTATTTGCAGATGATGTAATGGTACACCTGAAAAACCTGAAAGAACCAATGTTCAAATTAACTCAAGCAAGAGAAGAATTAAGTAAGCTAGCAGAATATAAAATAACATAGAGAAACCAATAGTTTGCATGCACATACACAAACAGTTAAAAAATATAATACTGGATAAAACTCCATTTATAATAGCATTAAGGGAGAGGAAATGCTTAGCAATCGACTTAATAAGAAATGTGCAAAACTTGTATAAGGAACACTTTAAAATGTGCCTGAATGATACGTAAGTGGATGTGAACAAATATAAAGACATCCTTTGTTCTTGGGTAGAATGACTCTACATCATGAAGATGTCAGTCCTCCTGAAGTTCATTTATAAATAACATGCTCCTCAAAAAAAATACCATCAAACTTCTTATGGAGCTAGACAAGCTGATACTAAAGTTCAGGTGGAAAAATAAATATGGAAAAATGTCTACAAAACACAATAGTCTAGGGAGATAAAAAACCATGAGGGGAGTCTAGTCCTACCTGCTATTAAATCATGCTATGAAATCTCCATAATTAAGACCATTAGGCACTGGAATTTGAGTAAACAAAAACACAAACAGAAGCGAATAGGAATCTAGAAATAGACTTAAATATATACACAAGTGTAGTACATGATGAAGGTGTCACCTCAAATCACTGGAGCATAGATGGGCTCTTTAATAAAATGGCACTGGACAACTGGGAAGCCGTTTGAAAAAAGATAACATTGGCTCCTTACCTCACACCTTCCACACAAACAAACCCCAAATTTAAAAAGAAACAGACATACAAGTACTAGAAGAACACATACAAGAATTCAAGAATTCCTCCATGAACTGAGTGTACCGAAAGAGTACAAGAAAATTGATAAATCACACTATGTAAAAAATTTAAAACATTTGCATGGTAAAAAAATAATTGATAATTCATTTAAAAACATATGTGTATAAAAGGATTACTATATTGCTTACCCAAAAAGTGTTGGCTTGGATCAACTGCGAAAGTGATGTCACCTTACCTAAATAAGCCACTGATAAAGTTTCATTTACAAACAGCATGGTGGAGGGAGAGAAAGTGACCCGTGGGGAGAGTTTTCTCTGCATTAGTACTGGCTCCAGCTTTACCTTCTTTAGTTTCTTGTGGGCCCCACTCTGGTTCCCCTGTGCCAGGTCGGCCCCACCTAACAGCCGGTATGTCTCTGCCACCTCCGGGCTGAGGTCACCAAACACTGCCACTTTGGCTTCCAGGGACTCTCTCAGGATGGAGATTGCTCTCTGTGAAGGGAACAAAAGTTAAAGTCTGGTTAAAAGCTCAAAGGCTGATAAAATCCATGCCTCCTAAGAAAATGGTGTGACTGATGTGTATTTCCACTTTTCAGGGGAATGGGTTTGGGTGGTGTCTCCTGAGCTAAGCCTACTCTCCCCTTTAAACCGGGGACAGGAAGTAGCATACATGTGAGCGGAGAGGTGCTCACCATGGAGACACAATGCATAAAGGACATCTGGAGAGCAAAGCCACTTCAGACAATGCAGGAATTCATTTCAGTCAAGCAGTAGGAGCAAAAGCTAACATGTTTTGTGTCCTTTATGTGCCAAGACCTGTACTAAACAGTTTGCATGTGTGAGCTCATGTAATTCTGTCTCCTTTAGGTAAGTACAGTTTTAATCCTCACTGAACCGAGGAGGAAACTGAGGTACAGAGCAGTCAAGAAACTTGCTCAGGTCTGACTCTTGATGTCGGCTCAGGTTGTAATCTTGTGGTTGGGGAGTCAGGTCCCAATTGGCATTCTCTAGCCACCATCCCCCTCTCTCTCCCTCTTTCTCTCTCTCTGCTCCTCCCCTGCTCAGGCTCTCTAAAGCAACAAACATTTAAAAAAAAAAAAAAAAAAAAAAGGAAAAGAAAAAGAAACTAGCTCAGGATTAGACAGACAGCTCCCCAGTGGCAGACCTAGGATCTGAATCCGGCCAGTAATTTGAATCCTTTTCAGTTGCAGGCTCTTCTGCCTATGTGCCCAGGGACGTTCTTACATTAAGTGAAAATTAGAGTTTCCTGGCAATGTATGTACTTACAAAACATCCAGAACATATTCCAGGGTTTTCTATTTCTCATAAGAAATAGCTTAGGAAACCAAAAGCAAACATTCCAACATGGTGAAAAATTAAATATATTTGACATTTTGTTTGGTTTCTTGGGTTTATTTATACCAACGTGGAATAAAAAACATGGCTTGGTCAGAAACCAGTATCTTCTGACATTAATCTCTTGAGTCAGACACTAAGACATACAGAGGGAAGGCCCTGTCTCCACCGCCCACATTTCTCCTGAAATTCTTCTGTGGTCTTGTACACGAAAGCAGGATTATGGCTGCAGGATACAAATGCTGAATTTGAGACTCAAATAAGGCCGGAACCGATTAAAGGGTGTCCCCACCAACTGGCCCTGGAGGTGTCCTGATAGCACTCCACAGATGGAATGAGCTGGCAAAGCTTTACTCGTTTTATTGGCAGTAATATGGGTTAGGTGCTAGGGTTGAGGTATGGAACCAACCACAGAGAAGGCAGTGATGAGGCAGAAACAATTTCTTAGGTGGAAAGATGAAATCACCAGAGAAACTGGAAACTGTGAAGCGTGTGGCCTACCCTGGTACGTGGGTAACTTGCTTGATGCTAAAGTGCATCACGTCCTTTTGTATCACATCCCCTCCCAACCCCTGTGAGCAAGGATTTAGTGTGGGGCAGGTGTTGGGCTCGGCAACTTATTCTTGTCAATTGGTTGTCAGGTTTGGAGGAGCCCATGATGGAAAGAAGAGCCGGACTCTTTTTCCTAAATGAAGCTTTCAATGCCATTTATAGCCTGACTGGGGAAACTAGAGAGAGATCTGCATGAACTTGAACGGCAGGTCACGATGGTGATGGACGAGATGCGACATGGGTTTGGAGGAAACAGAGACTGTGTCAGTCTGTGAGAGGTAGAAAAACTTAAGGGAGAGGAGTGAAGAAAAAATAGGACCTGGGTGGGAGGAGGAGAGGGCATGGGAAACTGGGAGCCCAGGTGTGAGGAGGGCAAAGGGCAGAGCCAGGCAGTGGGCTAATCTGACTGCAGCACAGAGAGTGGGAAGGGGAGAGTGGGGAGACAGGCCGGGCTGAGGGTTGTTGGGGGGCCTTTGCGCCAGGTTTGGGAGTCTGGATTTTCTTATGGGGAGTAAGAACCCGGAGAAGGTTCTTGAGCAGAAAAGTAGCACAACTAGAAGATAAACCCACTATTTTAATCTGTGGCAGAGTGACCTTCACCTACATTTTACCTTAAAAGACATTTTCCTTCCCAAAGACCACCTTCCTGTTGGTGCAGGGTTCTAGTCCAATGTATCGGCTGTGAACACATCTGGTGTGGTCTGAGCACAGCCCCATGCTCATGCCTGGGACTGTCCTCGGGCTGAGCCTTGTCAGCCAGCTCCAGCTAGAGCCCACAGGGAGAGGGCTGTGACCCATGCAAGGTTGCCACGCTTGGGCGGACGGGTTGCGTCACGCACAAGGGCAGGAGAACAAGGGCAGCTGAAATCTAGCCTGTGTTCTGCTCTCCAAGCAATGTGTGCTGGCACGGGCTGCATCCCCCCGAGGAAGAGGCAGCTTTTTCTATTCTTACAAGGGCACCGGAGGGCTGGCCGGGGGTAGAATGAAAAGAGCCAGTTTGCCAAAATCTCCAAGGGCGGCTGAGGGGAGCGAGGTGCATCTTTGGATCAATACCACCGATTTGGGTGACTGGGGCAAGGGCAGTGAGGTGTGGCATCAGTGACAGACACCAGGGCAGGAAGCCAGACAGGAATAGGGGAGATGATGGGTGCCCTGTGGTGGCTAGAGCAGTCAGGCGACCCATAGCCAAGCCTCCACCACCATGAGCAAGAGGGTCTCTGGCTACATGGAAATCAGTCCAGGCAGCGGAGAGACAGTACACATCCACACATATACTTACTATTCTTATGATCTTGTTCTATTACTCCTGTGCTGTGTTCATCATATTATTATATCAAACAGGATTCTATGATGAACAATAATGGGAAGAATCTAATGAGGACTGGGGAAAGGAATCAGGCAAACTGATGAGTCCTGAAAGATAGACCCTGCGTTATTTAGGAGATCAATGAGGAAGAGACCCCCAAGAGCAGGAACCAAAAGCTGGCACTTTCTGGAAGTGGGGATTAGAAAAGGCCAATGTGGCCAGAACACAGATCGGGGGAGGGGGCAAAAATAAGACTGGAAATGTCAGCAGAATCCAGATCCTTGAAGGTATTGTGAGACACACAGGATTCTGATTTATTTTAAGGGCATTGAGAAGCCGTTGGGAGTATTTTACAAATGGGGGTTTCACTGATCAGATCTGCTTTTTGAAAAGATCACCATAGCTTCCTTATTCAGAATGGATGAGAAAAAGCCAAGAGTGGAGAAAGCAGCTGGGGGACCAGAGTCTGTCAGAGTGGTCCAGACAGGAGGTGATGATTGGCAGAGGTGGACATAGCAACCAATACATTTTAGAGGTAACAATGACTGATGACCTGGAAGGGGTAAGTCATGATGGGGGTAGACTACATCCTGCCTCTAGACTTCTGACCTGAGCACCCTCCCTAGAACTTCTACAGATATTCTAGAATCTGAGGCCTCTGGAAGGCCCTTTTCTAGTTGGGGGATCCAGAAAAATATGGAAACTCCACATGTTATGGTTACTGTAGTCCTACTTTGGTCTGAGGAACATGGGAGCATCTAGATTAAAAAACCTGTGTTCCTTGAGCTCCCATCAATTGAGAGGGGGGTTTAGAACAGAGCTGTGGGGGGAAGTGTACAGAACAGCCTAGAAAATAAAAGCTTTTCATCCCAAGGATTTGCCTTGATAGGTTGAAGTTGAAAAAAATATATACATCTATATACATAAAGGCAACAGCAAGTAGCTTTCTGGTAGCTGTTAGGCTTTGCATAGAATAAGTTCTCAAGGGTTTAATTACCAGTGAATATAAACTCTGGGGCTTGTTCTATTTTTACAAGCCATAAAAAAGCATGCCTGTATGGTTCAATGGACTGTGGGCTGTAACTTCTGTGCTGTGTAGCTCTCGTTAGATATGTAAATTCCATCCATAACCCAAAATTAGGAGAGAGGAATTAGGCACACTCACCGGCACCCTCTATCCCAGCCAGAACTGCAGGCTGTGATAAGCAGGGTCTGCCCACTGGGTTTTAGGTTTCTCGTCCTTAGGATCCTTTGTGGGGAGTTGGGGGAACACGGCATCTACATTCTCACAAATAGTTTTCATTTTCCAAGAATGAGTATCTGGGAGCTGCCCAAGAGTGGCCACCTGGCATTATTTATCCCTGTCCCTATGGGAGCCGGGTACATACCTTGCCCATAGTAGATGCTTGATGGATGCTTGTAGAGTGAAGGAGTAGCCCTCTGGATGTCAACTCATGCAAATAACTAGTCAAACTTGGGTCCAAATGCATTTACCTCTTTTTGTCCGGTGACTTGTAGAAAATGGCAATAATCATCTTGAATTGAAAGAAATTTGGCTTTTCCCATCCCTTCAGCATCCTTAAGATTAGCCATGCTCTCTTGAAAATACTGCTTGGCCACATCTGAAGAAAAGCATCGTAAAAACATTTGAAGATTGCTTGCAGATTTGAAATGGAAACAGAATAAGTACCCTTTTAGTGGTGGTGAGCTATTTGAAAAAAATAAGTATTTAGACAAGAGGACCTAGTTAATTGGACTGTTTTTCAGAAAAGATTTAGGTCTCAGCAGGATACAGCAATTTACTTTCCTTGGTTTTCATACATTTTAGCTCTCCCAGCCATACAGTACAGATGGGGAAAATATTCCCCAGACTTGAACACACTGGTGAGTTTTCAGGTTAACCATTAATTCTTCCTCTAACTCTGGTTGCTGCTCACTGAGGTTAGGGCTCCGAGGGTCCACTTATTTTAATGGACTCTGTTATCTTAGAACATAATTTTACAGCATTAAAATTCTGCAAAATATGGCTGACACGCTGCTAAAGAAAGAAACTCAACCATTCCAAACACATAAACATACTGGTTATAATACAAGGAAAATATTTTTAAATATTTGCCAATCTTGAAAGCAAGAAAGGGAAAACCTCAGGTATGATAAATGAAGAAGGAACCAGAAGCCAGAACGGTGAGTGGGCATTGAAGCTGAGTGGACCGTGAGGGTGTTAGAAAAAAAAGGTATAGTCTGTAAGGGCTAAAGTTTTATAAGCCTGAGGACTGGTGATGAGGCCTGAGGACTGTGTATGGTAGGAAGATGGAATGAAGCTTGCTACCAAAAGCCAAATTCTTCTGTGATAGGCAGAATCTAGGAGGACAGCTCTGTCTAATCCCTCCCCTGTGACATGGGTGGAACTTGCAGATATGAGGAGATATTATTCCTTTGATGAGGTTATGTGATATACCACAGGTGACTTTAAGAAAGTGAGATTATCCCTTGGGTTTAACCTAATCACCCAAGGCCTTGAAAAGGAGAGTTTTCTTTAGTTGGTAGCAGAAAAGGCAGCCAGAGACATTCAGAACATAAGGGGGATTTGACATGAAGGTCCTCCATTGGTGAGATGGAAGGAACTATGGTGTAAGGACCCAAGAGTGGCCTGTGGGAGCCAAGAGAGGCCCCTGGCCAATAGCCAGCAAGAAAATGGGGACTTCAGTCCTAAAACCGCAAGGAACTGAATTCTGCTAATGACAGAAATGAGTTTGGAAACGTATCCCCATGCCCCAGATGAGAATGCAGCAGGCCGACAGCTTGATTTTAGCTTGAGCAGAGAAGCCAGCCTTACTGTGCTAGACTTCTGACCGACAGAACCGAATTGATAAATGGGTTTAAGCAATCAAAATTTGTTATGCGGCAAAAGAAAACTAATACGGTCAGGAATCCCTACAATGGAGTGAAGAGCAATCGCAATGGTCCAGAGGCCATCCGTGGCTGCAGAAATGGCATCTGAAACTGAGACACCGTACAGGGGGCATCCACATGGGTGAGGCCTGAATCTGCATCACCTACTTGGTCTGGAAATTCTGAACCAAGAAATTAACTAGAAACTAGTCTGTAACTGGAGAAATCATAGGGTTCCAGCATAGGGGTCAGCAAACTCATTCTGTAAAGGACAAGATGGTAAATATTTTAGGCTTTCAGAGCCATATGGTTGCTATCTCTGCTATTCATCTCTGCTGTTGAGGCACAAAAGCTTCCACAGACAATACATAAATGAATGAGCATGGCTGTGTGCCAAGAAAACTTTATTTACAAATACAAGGGGGCAAGCTGGATTTGGACCACTGACCCCTGCTCTAGCAGAGGGAAAAGTGGTATCTTCCTCTTCCAGGAACATGGGACTCCCAATGAAGTGCCTGCTGGAGATGACCTCATGGTGACACATGACAAGCACATTTTTGCCAGAATAGACTACGACCCACGTATACAGTGGTCTACTTGACATTTCCACTTGGAAATCTCATGTGTATTGTGTGGTGCAAAGACCTACGAGTGAAAAGATAAAATATAACCCTTTACTTCTTTACGTTTCCCCCATATTTGGTTATCACCTCTAATTTTGTATTTGTGCTACCTCCCTATTTTTTTTATTAGACCAGCTAGCATATTATCTATTATAATACCTTTTCCAAAGAATCAGCCCTTGAATTCACTTTTCTCATACTGTGTTGTGAGTGCCAGGTGCTTCCAAAGAGGCCTCTATGAGGACAGCACTCCAGAACTCACAGAGGAGCGATAACTGGGTCGCCTGTGCAGACAGGGTGGTTGTTCCTGAGTCAGCACAGCGAGTGGCAAAGAGGGCAGGCTCCAGAGGTCAGAGGTTGCCTGGCTCTGCTCCCTTCTAGCTGGGTGCCTCACATGGTTGACCTCAGTCTCCTCATCTGAAAAAGGGGAACATAACGCTAGTGCCTCCTTTATAGGGTTATTGTCAGGAGTAAATGAGTTAATGCATACAAACAACTGAAGACACGCCTAACACCTAGTCAGTGCTCAATAAATGGTAATCATTTTAACTTAGGGACAGCTTTGAGGGTCGTGGTTATGGACCTCTGCTGCCCATGCTAGGGTGACCAGCAGGCACACCGGAAGCACAGGTGGACTTATTAAAAGGACGGGAGCACTATGAAAGTGGTCACAGGTGTAGAATACTGGGCTCATCTCATGTGCACCGGATGTGTGGCCCTGCACACCACGAGAGCTCTGGGAACACCCGAAGTTCTTGCTGAGAATGTTGGGGGTCTCAAGAAATGATTCAAGTACACTCCATGTGATATGTTTTAGAAAGGAGAGAAGCCAACCCTTGCGAAATGTAGTCTACCGAACCCTGTCAACGTAAGGAAAAGATAGGTCTGAGAACAAGTAAGTTTCATTTATCTGCAAGATTTACTTTGCTTGGAGCCTAGGCAGTTGCCAGACCGAGGCAGGAACTCTGCTGTGAGGTGATGCCTCTGATTTCAGTCCTAGCTGCCCCCAGAGTTTGTAGCTATAGACAGAAGTCAATTGAACTGGAGCCCCCTGTTCCTTTCTTTCAGTGAGGGTCTGCTAGACCAGCAGGGGGATGATTTCTAGAGTATTTACTCAGAATTTTCTCTTGGTAGGAGAAAATCCTACCAAGCAGAAAATCTCTTTACTAGTAGCTGACTCATGGGAGAAAGCATTACAGATTTAATGCTCAAACTAAGCATTAATTTTGGCTACTTTGATAATCTGATGACAGCAAATTAGTGAGGATGATGTGGCATTTATTTTGTTGATTTTAAAAGCATAACAGAGATGAACATTCCATGTCTAAAAATTAACAACGATATTCCAGAGCAGAGTACTCCTGATATTTTAATTTTCTGTCTAATTGGGAATTAACCAAAGAATGTAACTGAGCATTTAAGAGTTCTTTTTTGGGGCGCCTGGGTGGCTTAGTTGGTTAAGCTCAACTCTTGATTTGAGCTCAGGTCATGATCTCGTGGTTCATGAGATTGAGACCCATGTCTGGCTCTGCATTGAGCCCGCTTGGGATTCTCTTTCTCCCTCTCTCTCTGCCCCTCCCCTGCTCACATGCACTTCTCTCAAACTAATAAACTAAAAAAAAGTAAAAAAAAAAAAAAAAAAAGGTAGAGATCTTTCTGAGTCTCAGCCTTGTTCTCCTGAGATGAGCTCTTACTATGAAGACTGGCAGATATAAAGAGCGTAGGAAGGAGTTGGGGCTGAACAAGGAGGGACCGAGTTTCAGAGCCTGGGCTTTGGCAGAAGTGGTACCATGCTCAGATACAGGAGGAGGCAAGAGGGGTGGGAAACATTTCCCTCCCCTTCCTGGTAAGGAACTGGACATAGGAGGACACAGCTGTGCTTGATTCCTTTCTGGCCCCTTTCCTGTAATGTCCTCCCACCTCTCAGTATCCCTTCCCCCAGCAGTCACACGCTGACCGAATGCCTCCCCTAAAATACCCCGTTTTCAGCTGGCTTCCTAGACCTGAGTGCCACATGCTCCTTTCCCTTAGTGTAGTTGATCTCACAGAGATGCTGGGAGAGAGGGAGCTGCCTGGTCTAACGCAAACTAGTGCATAAATGGCTCAACCTCTACCTCAGGGAGATGTATTCATATTTCCCCAAAGAGGATGCTTGTTAGCACATATAGGTCTCTGGAAGAGGGGATGAAGGTGAGAGAAGAAGGAAGGGAGGGGTGGAGGGAGAAGGAACGTATTACTGAAACGAAGGCAGTGTGGTTACTAGCGAACGAAAGCGAGGTGTTCAGCTGGGGATGTCAGAGGCGGACTCTGCCTGGAAATCTGCCCTCTGAGGTTGCTGCTGCCCTTCCTGTATTTTGGAGTCCTCAGCTTCTCTAAAGGTCCAGGCTTTTCCCATTTCTGTTCCTGCAAGGCCTCTAGTCCAAGGGGGGGGGGGGAAGGGTTCCCCAACTGCCATTGTCACAGAGAAGTTGTCACACATCAGGCATCATGTCAGTGGCCTTGTAGATCACAACAGCCTTGCAACTCAGGAACAGAGGAAGGGGTAGGGCATCCACTTGGGTGCCTTCCCAGTCTATAAATTTGAAACTACTTTTATATTTACCTGGGATAGAGGAAAACTCCCTTTACTACAAGATCCTGATGTAGTTCTCTCACCCCTCCGACCCCCACGTTAGCTTTCTGAACTGTGAACCGCATGATCTTTGAGAGGAGAGCAAATCTATCCTGTCACTACAGCTAAGGAGTGACTCCCTGATGAGCAGAGTTTCTTCTCCTGGGGGACGAGTGACAGCAGGATTTCCAGAGAGATCGAAGATCGAGCAGGGTGGGGAGATGCCATGTCCCAGCGTGGGCCTCGTGCCCTGAAGCCGGATTTTCAGAAAGCCAGCAGTTTGCAGCTCTCTCACAGTGGCCGCCCCCAATTTTAAAAACCTCTTCTAGAATCATCTGCAACCTGATGCCGGTGGCCTTGGCAGAAGATGAGGTCATTTTCTAAAGCACAGAAGCATGACTTAACTTGTAAATCTGAGCCCTGGTGGCACAGGTGTTCCAAGGCCACGAGTCTTCTCCCGTTTCCACCCCAACACAATGTTCAGGCTGTCTGTGGG